TCTAAGCACAACACAGGAAAGTCAAACCACTAGGAATTGCCTGGGACAGGAAAAGGATAGTGTTGAGGGTACACTTGATCAATCTTAAGAAGATGGCGAATGAGAGCAGGTGTGACAGAAATGGATTTGGACCGAACCCAAGTAGTGAATGAAGGCTTAAAGTCACTAATTTGCTCAATATTGCAGTAAAATTCTCTGCAATAAACAGTTAGGACTTCCTTATGGGTGTTTGATCAACCGTCTTTTGTCTGAACTTGGGGTTCGAGTGTTAGAGGATGATGAGTTTGCCTTCCCCTCCCGACCATTTACAAAGAAAACTGTTTCTCAGAGTCGGGATTGAAAAATCTAGAAATCCTCTAGATGTTGATTTGTGATTATGTATCAATTTTAAGCAATAAAACAATTCCAATCAAACAATCAAGACAAAACGACTCAGTGAAAGTGTGTGAGAGAAAGGGAAAAAAAAATGAAACACAAAAAATCCAAAACCCGAAATACAACCCCCAAATGTGCCGAAATTACAAAAAAAAAGACAAGAAAAGAGGGAAACACTTACCAAAGTGTAAATCGGCAAGGAAGAGGAAGAAGGTAGGTGAAATCGAGCACACAGATCCCACGAGCCAAACCCTAGGTCTGAGAAACTGAAGAAGAGGAAAAAAAATGACCTGAAGAGTCGAGGGAGGGAGTTTTATACAAAATAGGTCCGCTCGAGCGTATGTAGTAACGCTCGAGCTTGAGTCAAGGCAAGCTGACACCCGCTCGAGCTCGAATAAGGACGCTCGAGCGCAAAAATACCTCTCTCAGAAAAGCCCTCATTCTGATTTTCCAAAACAGGTAGTTACTCCCATCAAAGGTAGGAGCATGATGCAGGTTCTGACCACGAGCTAACTCCGCTGGCTTTGGAAGAGGTTGAGTGAAAGTGGACCAAAATGCCATGAAAGCACTATCCCCGTCTTCTCCAGATTCAGGTTCTTCGGGTTCTTGCTCCGACCCGCTTTCATCATCCCAAGTCACAGTGTAGACTTTCTTTCGATTCTTTTTCGAAGGGCATTCAAGGGCAATGTGACCAAACCCTTGACATTCATAGCACTTGACCCCTTGCCCCTTTACAATCTTCTTTTCAGTTTTTGGAGCAAGTTTTGGTGGAAAAGTTTTGGGTTTATCATTACTCTTGTCTTTTGAAATAGGGTCTCTAAAATTAGGCTTCTTTTTCTTCAAAAATTTTTTAAATTGTTTAGTAAACATAGCCGTCATCTCAGACTCTAAATCAAATTCAGTCTCCGGAGTTTTTGCAGACTCATGAGCACTAGTGAAAGCCACACTTTCTTTTTGTTTTTTCTTTGAAATCTGGTGGGCTTCATAAGTCTACAAGTTTCCAACCAATTGATCAAGCTTGAGGGTATCAACATTCTGAGCCTCCTCAATGGCTGTCACTTTTGATTGGAATCTCTTGGGTAAGGACCTCAAAATTTTTCCAACAACTTTAGCTTCCGGGATTTTTTCCCCGAGTATGAAACAGGAATTCACGATATCACTAAGTTTTGCATAGAATTCATCAAGCGTCTCATCATCGCGCATGAAAAGAGTTTCAAAAGCGGAGGTGAGACGTTGAAGTTTTGACCTTTTGACAGAAGTAGTACCTTCGTGAATCGTTTCCAAAATGTCCCAAGCCTCTTTTGCTACCTCACACGTGCAGATACGATGAAACTCTTCAGGTGTGATGGAGCAAAACAGGGAATTGAGAGCCTTACTGTTCCAACTCGAGTTTTGGTAATCAATTGTGTCCCATTATTGAGAGCCTTACTGTTCCAACTCGAGTTTTGGTAATCAATTGTGTCCCATTTATCAAGGGGTTTAGGAATATCAACACCATCAATGATAACAGTAGGTTCACTCCGCCCATAGATTACGCTATGCCAAACTTTCTCATCGATGGATTTTAAAAACGCTCTCATACGAGCTTTCCAAGAAGAATAGTTTGTACCATCGAGTAAAGGAGGTCTATGGGTCGAGTTACCTTCACGAATAGAATCCATATCACTAGTCACACAAAATCACACTCCTATAGTTTTGATAAAAACAAAGAGTGACCCGCTCTGATACCAATTGAAAATCCTAAGTGATTCGTGATTAGATCAAGATTAAAATATTCCAAATCCCAAAAATCCAAAACACACAATCTAAACCAACAAGTACTTACGAAAGTGATTTAGATTGTTTGTTTTTCGGAATAAACAATAAATCGACACAAACGATTTTTACGTGGAAAAAACCACAATTGAAGAACCTTCAATTGTAATAAAAAACCACGGGCGAAACGCCACTAATCAATCCACTACTGAAGTAAGAAAGATTACAAAGATAACATACAAATTACCCAACTCAGTCAATTTGTCTTCGAATCTTCTG